TTATGAAAAGTTATTCGAAAAGTGCCCACGGCCACTTATCTCTGAAATAGACATTAGTAGATCAATATGTACCAACATATCGATCGATGCTTTTTGTTTTCAAATAAATATCAAAGAACATTAAGTTTCTCGCAATTGTTGAATGTTTTAAAGAAAAGATATGAAAGTAAGTAACTTGCTCGTTTTCTATGAAAAATTTTCGATTGTTGACAATAAAGCAATTTATAAATCTGACAGAAGGAGATAATTCTTAAGATTTTTCAAGACTCTAAACGACTAAGAAAAATGGATTTAATACGTCTAAACTCTAAAGCATAATACTAAAAATTCGTGATTGAATAAAAAGAAAGTTATATATTAATAATTTAACATTAAAAAATGACATATTATAATATCCGAATATGGATTTTTGTTTATTTCAATTGATAAAATTAGTTTCTTGTTTTTAATTTTTAACTTACAGCTGTTGTTTAAAGATGGAGGTGAAATAATGAAACATTTGTTTCCGATGATTTAAAATATTTTATAAGAATATTTAATATTTTAATTATGTTCTCAAAAACATTCATTATTATAAAAAATTGAAAACATGACAGAATAAATTATATTTTCAAAGAATAAAATTTTTGTAATTGAAAGTGAAACATTTTCATTTTGTTAGGTTATTTGAAATGATGTTAAAATGTTACAATGGTTTTCAAATTTTTCAGTATAAAACAAGAGATAATTAGTTTTTGAATTATTTCTTAAACTCTTTGAGAAAAATTTAAGGCGTTGCCGTATTTTCTTATAACTTGATACAAAAATAATTTGTCAGTGCAATCCGCTCTATGAATGGCAAGCGTTTGCAAATTACAAGCACGGATTATTAGAAACTTTGTCATAATAGTGAAAATAATTCACTTTAATCCTGAAATGCTCATCTAGGATTCGAACAGACCTAAACTACTTTTATTTTAATGCTATATGCATATATCACCGCATTAAATCAAGGTCTTTCTAGACATGCTCTAGTGAAGATTAGTAAGATATGCTGCTGTTGGCAGCCGTTCATTAGCTTTGATCGATGACGCAAAAACTATGTCAAAACATAAACGAACGGTTGTTGGACACATGGGGGTTCATGTGGACGTCAGAAAAATTCTTTCTAATACTTTTACTATTTTAATTTTAGGCAAGATCTTGTTCTTCCAACTATACTTTAAGGTCATCCAGTAGAATACGCCGATAACAGCCATCAACCTCACTGATGTTGTAAACAAGAACAGTAATAGTTTAAAAATGAAAAGTTTTCAAACTATGTTGTATTCTGTCGCAAATTTCAGTTCTAATGAAGAAAGAAATCATGCTTAAATGAAAGAAGCATTGGAGTTAAATTTTCACCTTGTTAACATGGAATTTTTAGTGGAGTGCTATGTGCGTAGAAAAGTTTCGTTTCTAAGAGATTGCCTTTTTACAAAGCAATCGTCCAGTGGTGTTGTCAGAAAAAAGTCGCACTCGGGGTGAAGGAGGTCTCAGTCCTCTGACCACGTCCCTACAAACTGATGGAAATCGGTGGAGACCCAATCCTTGAAACTTTGTCGAGAATGGTCATAAGAAATTTTTGTCTGAGATATTGTGTGTTGAAATTAGCAATATATATTATTAAGTGTTTCCTGTACGTATTTTTCTATACATAGAATACAATTCAAATTATATTATCATATTGTAGAAAACATTAAAAAAGTTAAGAGATTCACATTAAAATGAACAATGGAAGAGTTGAATGAGGAGAACGGGAATGCACAGAAAACTTCTGATTTGATTAAGATTAAAAGATATTTTCATTTTTTCGACTAGATTACTGTTATTTCTTTGCTGTTTATAATGCAAGAAAGATTTTTCATTCAGAAGCTTTTTACACGTTTAAAGAAACTTCATTTTATCTTCTTTTTGTTGAAGAAGAAAAATATTTTCATATGAATTGAAAAATCCTTTCTCAGCACTTTTGGCTCCGAAAGCATTCATACTGGTGACGATTGTGATGTAAATCATGTTTCTCATTCAACTCCAACAAATTGAAATTTACTTAAAATAAACAAAGCGTTGAATATCGCTTATGCCCATACAAATGAAATTTTTTTCAACGCGCCAATTTTTATGCCTTGATGATAAATTTCATTAATCTCTTATCATTTCAATGAGAAAAACGAAACTGTCATTAGATGCCAACTATGAAACTTTTTAAAAATATTTGTCGGCGAAGCCGATCATGTTCACAACGATTATCAAATAAACGAAGCTCTTCATAGCCTGTCTTTCAAAGTAAACATCAGAGAATTTTTTAACCAACTATGATTTTTTTTCTTGACACGATATTAAAAGAAAATAGAATTTATTTTGATATGTTTGTTTAAAAAGTTTGCGAATTTCCAGAATTCATTTGCTTGCTTTTCTGCTTTTTCGACTAATAGCAATAGAAGCTTCCCATTATTGAGGTTATCGCACTTCGGACATCCTTCAATTGACTCACTATTGATGAACATTCTGCTAACACTTCTAGAACAGACTTAAGTACCATTTAAGCCAGAATTTGACCTTTTGTAGAACGGGGAGAAGGCCAGAGAGAAACATTGTTTGTAGACTAAATTTCTCTCGTCTGTCATTGATTATGTCACTAGTAATTAAATTGAGAATTCTTTTGTCTATGTATTTTTAAAGATATAAGGTCTTCTCTTATTTTACACTAATCATTGCGTTCTGTTTGCTTTTAGTAATTAGTGCCAAAAAATAAAAAACATCGCCATGTACTATCTTCTTATATTTGATCAGAAGGGCGATAAATACACAACACTTCATTCTTCAAATGATTAGTATTCTGATTAATAAAAATCAAGAATAAGTATCTTTATAG